TCTACGAATAACTTCAGACCGTTGAGGGTGATCATATTCGGAAAGTCTATGAAGAATCGAGTAGCAGTTAGTTGAGCGAGAATATCGTCGTCCACTGGGACCGGATTATGTAGCGAACCAACTATGTTGAAGTGTTCTCTCGTCACAATGAATTTGAACAAATCTGGGCTTAATTTATCCTGAGAGCAATCGGGAACTCCGCTTATGGAGATACTCTCAGGAGCGGTCTCGTGTAGAAATCGAAGAAAAATGGAAGATGTGAAGTCAGCCATCGATGGGTTCATTACCGCTAACTCACGTACTCGACAGCCCTTGTCCAGGAAACAGGATAAGACTGACGACAGAAAACCGGCTGGCACCTGAAACCTTAAGAAATATAAATTTTTATGATTTGAGGTCTGTTGGTGCGATTCGCCTAACTTTACATTTCCATGCTAGTAAAGAAATCTGAAAAGCTAGAAAGGGAACAAAATCTAGCATCTACTCGAAGGCAGTGGGCAAGATGGCACGGGCGCTTATTGCCATCGTCATTGGCGGAAAGGCTGATCGACGCCTTTTTGCAGCCCTTCCACCAGTGGAGTTGGCAGTAACCGCCCGCCTCCAGCTCGTACGATTTCACTAGGGGCGGAGATAGAAAGCGGCGTCGAATGAAAAATCGGAGATCTGGAAACCAACCCATGCGTATTCAGTCTTTTTTACGACATTCGATTTCGCATTCGGACGAATCAGTCACTTCCTAAAGCCTTGTTCACTGCGGATGATGGGGCGTGTCAAGGATGTGTTTGGCGTGTTTCTGTCTTTTTTCCTTTCCGCAGGCTATCGGTCGTTCTTCAGTACTTCTTGTCGCTTACCCGGTTCAGCAACTAGTGGAGAACGGGCTGGCGGCGCGCCAAACCCATCCTCACTGACACACCCCTTAATTCGCCGCGGACAAGGCTGTGTCTTTTTAAGGGCTCCTCCAATCGTCAGCTCTTCAGTGAAACAAAGAATGAACGAGACTCACTGGTCTTCGTACTAGCTGGTAAGGCGATAAATAAGTTGCTGACCTCACCGATATCCAGACTGCGAACTTCAGCGTTTCTAAGCACCTTTGCAAAACAAGAGGAATGCCTTCCATGGAATGGGTGATGTGAATCAGGTCCCGAAGCCGTACTAACTGTGCCCGCATCGGTCACGTCCTTAACCTGCAAGAAAAAGCGAAACAATCCAGTACCCGCTGCGCTCTCCGGAGACATCCTAGAGTGCTAGTGAGCAGCTAACGCGGGCGAGGCAAACAGCACGGCTAATCCCACTAGCCCAATGCGCACTGCTGCCCGCGCACTCACGCTCAGTTTCACCTAACACCTCACTGCACGTGTACTCATGGACTCGCTTTTTCCTTGATCCTGGAGCAGCTAACTTCACGCGCCGCGCCCCCCTCCCCCCTGGCCACCCTCCGCACCTACGAGGTCCGCGCCCCGCCGCACACTACATTCCTCGGGCGCATCACTAATGAAAACCAGCAGACAGCTTGGCTCTAATTTCAAAATGGGCCAACCCGTACTCTAAAGCGCAACTCACTTTCCTTATTCCTTCTTCGGGACACTGTATGTACAGTAGGAACCTCGGAAACGGCATCTGCAACAGAGCTATGTTCTGAGTGTATTCTTTCAAAGACCAGCTTCAGGTTGAGCCCAAGGCTGCGGAAAAACTGAGCCAGGACTTTTGATGCTATACTGCACAACAGATGAAAGCAACCTTGCGTATCGCTAAGTCAACGAGTCTTCTTTGCAACGTTCGTTCATTAGACTGGATGAGCTCGAACATCTCTCTATTGACCTGCCGACATCTGTCAAGATCAGCTCGTGGAAGATTCTGAAGAGTTTTCAGTCGCAGCTCTCGAGGCAGTTGATTCCACGGAAAAGGCACCTAAAGAAAGAAATGGAGATTGGAAAAAGAAAAGGACCAAGAAAAAGACCTAACTCTATTTGCGATTTATTACAGAAACAGTTGAATTTACGGAAGGAGGGGGCATTGTGCTAGCTCGAAGGTTTCTTATGTTTCACCACCTTGACGAACGAAGCCTGTAATCTCCTAAAACCGACGAAACAGAATGAGCTTCGTAATGTGCGGCTATATCAGCTTTACTCAAGCTTATAGGTCTTCCCTCATGAAAGGGCCTGTTCGCTGATTGCCATTTCATATCTCCACGGAATTTCAGATGTCTCCACGTAGACGTAAGCTAGCAAAATGCCCCCCCCAAAGGCAACTCCACCAAACTGAATATTACAACTGTAGAATTTACGACAAAAGTAGGCGTTTATAAGTGTGGAAGAGGGATTCAAGAAACGTTAGTGCTATGCCTGCATGAAATAGACGGAAACTCACTCCAGGCTGAGAGAGTGAGCAATCGTGTAGGCCATCGGTCACACTTGTAATGGATGAGTTAGATACACTATCTGAAAAGAAAACCCTTCAGAAAAAAACTCGCTGGATCAGCTTTCAGTCTCTTATGTGGCGAAGGGACTGAGCCCACATAGCAGCGCGATCAAGGCAACATTCATACTCCGCGACTCCAGCGATTTGTGAATCGCGCGAATGTGACTGATCCGGCTCAGCACTAATAGCTGGACTTGAAGTAACTTCATTCGAATCAATATTCAGGGCTATTATCAAGCTACCCAAAATAAAATCTCCCTGTGAACTACCCACTGTGCGGATCAACTCCCCAACTAATGCCTTCGTCTCTCTAGCCCTGGGCGCTGGAAGACGGTAAAGAGGATCCTAATTCGCCGCACCGCCACGCGCGGCGATGGGCGCGGCGTTTTCATAACTCGTTTTAACCTGTCGAATGAAGCACCGGACTTCATGTAGACCCCGTCATCGTAGACACTCATTACTGTTTTCGGTCCTTAATTGCATGTTGTCGCCATCTACTGCCTGAAACCATCGTCCTTTGCGCGGCGCGGACGTCGCACGCGACGCCCAGCGGCGCGGCGAATTACGATCCTCTTGTCACATACCCCTGGGCGCTTTGCATTCATACTGTTCTGGTGCACGCGTACGAATACTGTACAGCAGAATGTATAATCGATCGATCTCCTCCCTACCAGCACATGTCATCGATGGGAGATTCCGTGAGAGCCCACGTCGAGCGCGGTCGTCGGTATTATTGTGAAATGTAAGAAAGCACTCTTTGAAAACCTTCTTTGGTGTAGACTCAAGCCAGTTGTGTGGGGATTGCCTTCCAGTCACGCCAATGGTACTCACGAGTACGCTGGGAGACAGAGTCGACGCCCACCTGCTCCACGCCCATACTGAAGATGCACGTCGCTGCGCGTCGACATACCTTCTAAGTAAACCCGTACTGCTATACCGAAGAAGAGCCTGTTGTCCCTCAATTCACTCTCCCCAAGTAGTGAGCCAAGTAGTGAGATAGAGGGAAGTGAGACTGGTATGCAAATTGACTGTATAATTAGTTCTACTCCACTACTACAGCAACTTATTTCCTACCGGTCATTGCTGAAATCGTCCTCCACTAGCCTCTCATAGCAATCCTTTGAGTGGCCCTGGAAAAAAGGATGTCTTTAATAAGGAAATAGAGAGGAATTTCTAAAACGAGAAAAGAGGGCAAGAAAGGGCGAAATACCTAAAGGCAGAGTAAAAAATCAAAAACTAGCGGAATCCTGCTCGCTCTCTCAAACCTTGAAATTGTAGCCTAGGACCATAAAACTTCGAGTAATCAGAACTTCAGGAAAATGGCTCATTCAACTAATAGATACCTTATTCCCGGCGGATGTTAGGAGAAGGCATTTTGAGTTTTCCCAATTTGGGATGATGTACACAACTAGTACACACTTAGGCAGCGTTCAGACTTGTCGCGCTTCAACGCGCGTCGATTGTCGCGCTTCAACGCGCGCTGCTGCCCTTGAACACGCTACAATTACACTCCAATTGTACCAGACCCCAGCTTCCCTTTATGTTCTTTCTTCCGGTATTCAACCCCTTTTTCGTTCTCATTTCTACCTGATTCTTAGCTCCTCTTTTTTCACTTTAGCATTGAATTTCAATGTAGTTTTTGAAAGAGGACACTGTGATAATGATTTCGTATACCGTTTCAAAAAACTCGTCGTCAAAAACTTCAAAAACTACATTAAAATTCAATGTCAAAGTGAAAAAGAGGAGCTAAGAACAGGTAGAAATGAGAAACAGTGAAAAAGGGGTTGAATACCGGAAGAAAGAACATAAAGGGAAGCTGGGGTCTGGTACAGGAGTGTAATTGTAGCGTGTTCAAGGGCAGCAGCGCGCGTTGAAGCGCGACAATCGACGCGCGTTGAAGCGCGACAAGTCTGGACGCTGCCTTGTAATTTCTGGGAGGCGCCAGTCCGCGTAGTCTTGTTCGCCGTTCTCCGCCAATCGTGGCATCGCGCCAAACCAGCCCCCTGTACCCTCAATTCCAACTGGCCAGCAAAGTCGCAGTAGTACATCTGATTGTACAGCGACAGTATCATAAACATTAGCGACAGAACATTCAAGAACACTTTTATCGGGGTTCCAATGTAAAGTACAACAACAAAATCAACATCATACAATTTCTAACGAATCAATAACAACGTAACAAAACGTACAACAACAAATAGGTTGGGGCCAACTAACACATCAGTGTTTCTTTTTGTGCCGGAACTTCTTCGCCCTTAACTGATGCGTGGTGATGAGTTTACGTGCTTTTTTCTTCCGCGCTTCCACTTCGGCTAGTTTTTCTTCCAATGCATCCAACGAATTCATTGATGTTG